AAAAAAAGACTATCTTGCAAAGACTTTGAAGAAAAGTAAATTACAGGAATAGATATATGTAGAATTAATGTTATGATATTGACGGAATATAATTACAGTAGAATGTACGACTATTAAAAAAAACCAAAACCAAAAAACCAGGAATACACAAGATATGTTTGCTGTCAAACTCTGACAAAATGTTATTCTCTCAAAAATCTCTCGATGCTATAGTTTCCGGCAACTGGTTGCGAACGGCCATCATTTCGATAATGACATTCATTCTCGTATGCATCCGTTGACTCCATTCGGTATATACCTTCGGCATTCTCTATACCTTCATCGTTCTCATCTTCATGATACTCGGCTACCTCTCTACTATCGATACAGTTTCGTCCATTAATACTCCCCCTAACCATTCTATTCCTCCCCCTGCTAACAATCTGTTCATAAGATTTGTTCCGATCCTGTCCACTGCGACTCCGAGAGACGCTCGCACTTCGACTTCGGACAGTTTGTTGATTGGGTGGTCGACTCCCGCTTGGTGCACAAGATGTACTGCGATGAGCTGATGTTGGATCATTGCGAAGGTATTGGCCATCTTGAGAACGAACGCGAGGAGGACTATCGTATTGAAAATCGACAGGAGATGATGGAATTACCCATTCGTTAGTCCCGCCGCTGTCTGCACTAGCCAGTCTATCTTTCCTATGCTCTTGTGCGGTGAACGAATTGTCAAGTCTGCCAGAACCTTTGCGAACATCATCGATAACAGACTGAGCTTCCTGTAATGATAATCCAGCCACTTTTTTCCACAACTCGTCGTCAAAATCAACGAGTGAATATACAATCTGTGCGTCGACCGTTCTCTCCGCCCAGAATCTCATCAATTCGGTATCATCACATTCGGCCATTTGTGCTCGACAATGATCCATATATTTACCGAACCCTTTCTGACCGATCAATTGCAATGATTGTTGTTGTTTTTTCACTGCTAATAATTTACTAATTTGCTTTAATACCGATACAGCTTTCCGTTGAGAATAATTTCTGAGTACAATATCGACCATGTCCTGTTTGAATCCAGCTACCTTATGCACGATTGATGCAAGTGTGTCAATAATACGGCTCGTCTTTATATTCCTTGTCAATTCATCGATTGCTGCTTGTTTGAGATCGTAAAGGCAATATTTATCGGCGACTACTATCAAGTCGAGAACTGTTCTACCCGATCCTTCGTTATGACTAAAACTAACTTGATTTGTATATAGAAATCTAAGCATCTCTAAAAAAGTTTCTGGCTGTATATCGTCAATGGTAATTACACGTGAATACGTTCCGGTTGATCCCACTGAAGCAAGCGACTCGACATCAGCGTCGTGACTGGCAAAAGAAGTTCTTCTATGGTTGCTTCTCCCTGTTGTTCGTGTTCCACTAACACCGTTATCCTCTCTTAGTAAGGTGTCAAAGTATTCCGATCTCCTGCGAAGTATAGAGCTTCTTGCGTAAAGAGGTCGACCTTTAACAACAAACTTGATGTCAGAAATGTCCATGTTATTGATATCATCTTCCCAGGCTTCGATCAGATTCGTTGGCAGGACGGAGCGAGACACAGGCACAGTAATGCGATCGGTTGACATGGTAAGACCCTGGAGAGAAATTCCAATGGATATCTCTTTTGGTACCTGTGACTTCCGAACGAAGCGGGAAAATCCCCAGACTGGTTTTTCTTTAGAATAATTTTCCATATTCAACTCTACTGGATCAATGATGTTCCTCCAACTGTATTGAATATGATAGACGCAAAGAGTTTTAGTGGATGATGTTCTGTAAAGGTATTATTTACGATGATCATATGAATCATACCCAGGCTGTGCTGCTGCATCTTTCAGCCATAAAGATGCGATAAATCTGTGTCGTTTTGTCCATGCGAGTTCCGACTTTTCTTCTTCGTCGTTTGGTACTGCACATAGAAATAAAGAGCAATAGGCAGGACTGTCTTGTGAGTTCTGCAGAATTGGAGGAACGTTATTGAGTTCTCGTTATAAAGTTAAAAAACGCGTGCAAGATTTTTTCAATGATTTGCA